TAACCCACGAAGTTTTGCGACCTTTTCTTGAAGGTGTAGCCAATCTACTAAGGTACCAACAAGTGTAACCTTTGGAATACCACAACCACAACGCATTTTTTAGGTGAAACACTTTTTCATAGAATCCAACAATATAATTTGACAATTGCATTTGTTGAAGTTGTAAAGTCACATTCGAGAGTTGTTTTAAACTAACTTGTTTAACTCGTTGATCGTTAAAATCGATCGATCGCTTTCGGCAATCACTGATGAAATTACCGTTTACATATCCTATTAATATCACGAGCATCTATCATGACTTGTTCCTGGCCTTTCATGATCGACGAACAGATAACGAAGGCGTTCAGAATTATTCCAAATGTGATTACTGACACCTTGTGCGATTGTAACCACACGTCATCTGGTGAGAATCGATGATTTGTAAGCATGAATAATTGCTGAGGCCAATCAATGAGAAATGGCAGGTCTCAAATTATAATAGTCGGGTTGGAATCTGAACTTTTCGTATGATCTAACGAGAATGTATTTATTGGTCCATGGTTTGAAATAAGACTTAATATCTCCGTGTTTAAGGAATTCATTTTTTGGTTCAACTTTATCAGTAATTTTTGGATACTTCGTGGTGAGTTCATTTTGTTCTGTAAATTCAAAAGTAATTGGACATAAAATTAAAATTGGTGATTTCCTCATAAGGTTTAACAAAGGCCAAACAGCTAACAATAAGATCAAGCCATCAATATCCATTTAAGGGAAACTTTATTTCTTTTTTAAGTCGATATAATTACAATCAATCTTTAAACGTCGTTGCACTAATCACTCTAAAATATAAATATCTTTATTTCTTGGTCATTAGAAGAATACATTAACAGTCTCAAATACTTTTGGTTTTTATTTGTAATTGTACAAATTTCTATTTTAGATAAAGATAAAATGAACTAAAAAAATTTTGATTTAAATAAAAGAAAATTACTATGTTCATATCATATACTTTTTTTTAAAGGATCATTCCATTATATTAGCATTGTCGGCTTCTTAAATATTTTTAAATAATATTTAAGATAGCTGTAAAATCCATAATTCTAGCGAAAAGTAATACATGCAATGATTTGATAATTCAAGAATATGACAAAATAAAAGTGATGTTAAAATTTTCAGTAAATCACATGACGAGAAACTTCCAATTTAATTTTAAATCATACAATGCAATGGTTAATTTATTTCGATGACTCATAAACTCTGGTACAGAAATCTAATTTCGCATAAAAATATATTATTACTAAATAAGATAAACGAAAAATCAATTGGGCGGATTTAGTCTGTTCCAATGCACCTCCCTCAATGTGATTAGTTGGTTATTGAGATGGTGCAAAGCTTTACGATCAATTGAATTAAGATGGAGTTCGGTGCTTGAGCAATATCTTTTTCTCTTTCTATCATGAATAAAAAAAAAAAGGTTTTAGCTCTAGCATGTAATTAATTTGTGTTTTAAGTCTATTAACGCCTCCAAGTATCTATCAGTAAAATTGACTAAAGACACTTGACTTACTTCATGTGTTTCTCTAATACTTGTATTCCTTCTCCATTTGCTAGTTGTTACATATAATGCATTAGCTGTTTATTTCCATATAGACGTTGCATTTTGAGGAATTTAAATAAAAGTTGGATGTAAACAACCACAATAAAGCGAAATGTTGCGAAAGTTATTTAAAAGAGTTATGAACATCCCCATCACTAAAAATGGGAAAATCATCTGTCCTATTTTAGGTCTTGGACGGTGTTGTATTCTTACATTTGATGGAGAGAAAATTAAAGATTGTAAATATTGAATATTATTTGCATTTGAACATACTGACATTTTTATTTGCTAGAATTTGTATTATGTAATAACCAGCTGGCGATAGTCATGCTGAAAAACCATGGCATAAAATGGAAAAAAGGAAATACTTGCTTGTGTAAGCTTTTTGATTGCTTAATCAATGTAAAATTTAACCAATCAGCTCAACACTGTGAAGGTTTATAGCACAGGATTTTTTGATTTAAATGATGATCGGTTCTATTTTTTTAACCAATCAAATCATCAATATTTATTTTAATTTCGGAGGTACTATTTGCTTGGTATACAATATATACCTTACACTAAATACTAAGTCATATTCGTTAAAATTGCAATAATTAAATTAAATATTAAAATATCGCGGAAAAAAAGAAATGAAGGATATAAAGATTACTGAGAAAGAAAATACAAATTTTCCCTAATAAATAACTCTTTCTCCAGCATGCTCTATTAGCGAGAGATAAGTATATTTCTTCAGCCACAAAATAAATTAATGCTCTTGGATGTGTAATGCTGTCTTTAAAAGATATGGACCTTTGCAATAGAAAAGTGGGAAACGGCTAGAAAAAAATAAAAATTGAGTTAATGTTAAATCTGAACATATTTTGACCTAAAGATCAAATTTTGGCATATAAAAGTAAAATTGATTTTTTCGGAAAATTCCCTCCTTTCAATTACAAAGGTCCATATGACTTAAATAAATTCTCGAGTTATAGCTTTATTAATATTAACTTTATCAAAACTGCATTGTTGTTCAAATCTTTTGTCCAGTTCTTAATCATTAAATGCTGGGGACAATTGTGCGAAACTCTACAGATTGAATTCTTGTAATATCACCGCAATCAAAGTGGTAATATTTTAATCTTCCAATCAAATAAGCTTTACTATTCTGAGTAGAATGAAAATAAGTTATTTTGACATTATTGTATAAAACTCACTACATGCAATTGTGTGATGCGTGTTCTCTATTTTTTTGTTGACCCTTGGTGATCAAAATACATATGGTATGGCTAACCCTCAAACTTCAATTTGGTATGTTTAAATTCTGCACTCCTGTAGATTATAAATTATGTTTCAATTGAAATGCAAATAGGGAAAATTTAATATTTGGTAAATTCATTTGCTTACTGACCAAATCAGACTACTTGCATCGAAAAAACTAGTGGTTTATTTCTGATAGGAGTTGTTGACCTTAAAGGGAGAATACTAGCTCTGAGGTTCAACAATTTTAATGCTTCAACTTCTTTTGTATCAATGCTTGCAAAAACATCTAGGTTTGTAGTTTTAGATATATTAACATCTAACTTTTCGGGCTCAACATACTTCAAGAATAGTCCACAAAATATTATGAAACATGGACAAGTTCTTGAACGGTAAACTTGTTTTTATCTTCGCTAGACTTTTTTTTTAACCGCATGCTTTTGTGACAGTTATTCCCATGACGTGATGAGTAATCCCCACCGAAATTCAAACTAAATTTAAATTCTGGGATTGAAAAATATAAGAAAATTATATAAAGATAATTCAAATACAAAATAAAATTATTAAATTATTAAATCTAACAAATGTAATAACGAACATAAATACCCTTGTAGAATGTTATCTAAAATA